AGGGGCTTCACCCGTCTGCCATTACAGTAAAGTCCATTGTCAATGTTACTGTCCATTATGTTCGATATTACAGCATAAATACTCGACTACACTGTACATAAATTAAGTCAGTCGTTGGGCTCACAGTCGTTAGATGATATATTGATCAGTGTATTGATTACTAGTATCGAAGATCCGTCATTGTGGCGTGGGGGGGGGGTCAGCTCATGGGGCATGCTTCTTCATTATTGGTAAAACAAATTTCATCGTTTCATAAATAAAATATAACAGACCGTTTATTTAATCAATCGCTTAGCTTATTACAATTTTTGAAGGGTCAATTATTCTATAAAACGCAATTCCGGATATATGTGTTCGCCCTATATGATAATCGACGTTTCCGTCACGTGTCCACTTCCTATAGAATGAATAATGGACACGTAATGCTAATGACGCAGTAAAACAAAAGACAACACCCCCTATATGTGTGGAGCTCCGTCTATAAAAACACGGGCAACAAAACAAATATGTCGCCTATTTAAGTGATAATATGACATGTGAATCATTTAATTAGCAAGAAATATAGGTTTATCCTTTTGAGTACAGCTGAAAAAATCCCCTGTTACACCTCGGAGGAGTAATAGATTATACCATGGAGCTAAAAAAAACTCCATGATTATACAAAGGTGGTTGCCATTCCCGATGATAATAGACATCGGGTTTTGCAAACAGCGCCACCAGCGATTAAACTTTGTAAGCTGCGTTCACGACTAACGTTGGTACATGGTGACTGATTTTGCTTCCACTTTATAATACCTTGTCTGTACCAATACAGTCTGCACCACTACACACACATATGCAGGAATGTGACGTTTTGGGTAGGCAGAAAGCGTTGTTGTTTCGCTTGGAATTTTGCCAAAAAAAAACACACCTTTGTTTTCACCAGTCTCGGCGCAGTAAATACATGTATTGTTAAGCACGCCGAGTCTAGCCGCTTTCTCTATTGTATTATAAATAAAAAAAAATGCTACGCCTTTGAGATATTTTTAGAATTAAATTCTCGCGATGTCACCAATACCACGATAACAATCACAACCTTTGAGTCTACCAGTAACCCAAGGACTCCTCTATGCTTGGACATGAATATCGCCATAATTCAATAACAGCAGATAAGCCAGATTTGACAGCTTTATCACAGTGTCACGGAAAATAAGTTACACTGCAAGCTATAACAGGGTGATCGAAACTGAAATGATACCTTGTTAACCTGATGTGCACCGCGAAGGAAAAACATGAGATAAAAATACCTCATTATGGGAAATTCTCTGAAAACCTGTACCAGAAAGCAATACATACGGCATGACGCGGAATGGCGTTGGAATACACGTGAATTTCTCGCACAAAAAAAAGAACTTTAAGTGAACTTGAATCTATAAGACAACAACGTTGTGCGTTGCCGTGCTACAGTTCCATATCCGTTGGACTCTAACCCATTGCCTCCGCCTACCAATGTGACAGTAATCACTGTCGCATTACATGTATTTTCATATTATATTTCGTACTACGGGGAAAAGACACCTCATTCTCACAATGTATTATGTATAACATTTATATATCATTTCATCCGCTTGGTATTTGTATTTGTAATCAATGTCCTTATCCCCGCTGATTTGCATAGGGCATTGTTTTCTATGGGCACTCAGTTAATCAGTGAAAATTGATTGAAACATGTTTAAATATGAAGATTACTTTCATCTGTAACATTTCACGTTACACAATGTGAGTTTCCCTGAGCATGAAGTCGAGTTCACCGTATCTTCACCGTGACAACTTCAGGAATTTTTTTTATTTTTATTCTGACCACGCCCTCCTATAAGCTGCACATTTCCTCTCGATAAATGTGAGTGTCGATTCGCTTAATCAATTCGGTGGTTTGTGTCGAAGCTATGTGCAAATATGGTAGCAGCCACCAAACTGGAATACGCCATATTAATTTCTCTGTTGAATTGACGATTTCGGAGATCTTTGTAAAGAAGAAAGTTTATTTCATTTCCATCGTAAATGGGCACACGCAGTTGGGTCAGCACACTTCCGGTCTACAAGAATGTATGAGAACATATTTTAAAAAATTGTATCATTCCACACTAAGTATATCACAATAAATATATTCTTTTTTCTAATTTAAATAAATATCCGTGTAAGTATCTTGAAAACAATATATAGTTAGAAAGTATTATTTTTTAAGGTCATATTGGTACATTTCCACGAATATCAAAACACGGTTACTTTGTTGTCCTCGCAAAACCTAACATTGAAGAGCGGCAAAATTAGTCATTCTCGTATTTTATTATTTATGCCAATTAACACTACGCTGTCTCTGTATACTTATGGGACATTTTGACAAGTCATGTCGAATTTGCACCATGCATTTTATTATTTTTAATTTTTACACAAAGTGACATTAAGTCCTGGGACATTCACATTGATTTTAGACAGTTTTGTGTGAAACGTGTCAAATGAACGAGTTTCAAGTGATGACGTTGCGATTCAGTTATTTCACATACATCAATGTAGCCGCTTGATATTGATTCTGTACGCGTACGCGAGCGAATGACGTGTTTGCAGCGCCCTCACGCGACAGAATGAAACGTTTTAAGGAACCTCAGAAAAAGTCAATTTAAAAAACAGTTTTCAGTTTTTTGATCGAAAGAGTTGCATACGCTATCAAAACCAGGGTTTGAACCGCGCTTTTTCGAAATTGAAATTTTTTCAGTTCATTCTTGAAAGTAAATTCTTGCAATGTATCTTATTTTATGATACTTCAGCGTCCTAAGTACTGTCTTATTTCAGATAATATTTTTTCTCCGTTTTAAAGCAAACATAGATTGTTTTTTAACCAGTTTCACAACTTAAGAATTTTCAGACATTAAATGCTCCAAAATCGTAACATTTAATAAGTAGGTGCAGCTTTTTAATCTTCATGATTTTATCGTCGCTGAGTGTTAAATTACAGCTTCGTCCCACATTATATTTGGGACTCTCACATTCTTTGCCAAGACTCGAGTTTTGATAGCCAGTAATTCGGTACCAACACTGTATGTTAAAATACAAACACATTTTCTGAGGCTGCTAAATATGCAAAATATCGCGAAACATTCCTACTCATGTTGATCTTGTACTGGCAACTTTGTTAATTACAATCCATATTTTTGTTTGCAATAGCCTGCTAACTATTATTTCATATCCGGAGACTTATAGGACGCCAGAAATCGCACACAAATGAGACGGTATGAATACATGTATGTATTATCGCCATTGTCATTCGTCCCCTTTAAATTCACCTCCATTTGCGTCCCATTATTCTCCCTAGTGGACTCAGCTTGTTCCTGACTGCATTGTTTTCAGTGTCGTCTCCAAGAGAATTGAACAATGTCGTGCAATGTTTCCTTTTCCCCTACATTTGAACCCTTCCCTACGACTGAAAGCAAATTGAAAGTTTCTCTATGTATGACCTAATAGTTGACAGATTCTGCACATATAATTAGGACAGTCCTGAACCACGTGGCTGCCACTTAGACAGTTGTTAATACTTTAAGCTGCTTGTTATGTAATAGGCGTCTATATGGTCCAAAGCGAGTATCATTTCCAAAGCGAGTATCATTTTCGATAGTAGGGGCTTCTCTGTAGTATTTATGTAACACTGAGCTTCTAATAATACATCCAAAGTGTTCCAAACGGCATGTAATAGCGTCATCTGAATATAAGCCGGGACATTGAAAAAGGATACTGACAGGAAAATACAACTGACACCATGTACTTTATACTCCCAAAAAGAAAATTCAACATATTCAGTGGAGACTAGATTTACTTGCCAAACATCATTAATTAATAATACAGGCTAACACAGATCCAGTTCCATATGCTTCATGTACTGACTCGATGACATTTACACGAGGGCGGCCAAAATGGCCTAACCTCTCACGCAGCGTTAAAATAAAACTAATCACTGCAGGCCAATGTACAACTAAATAAAGAGAGAAAATGTCCTGCAGTAAAAACATTGCTAGATATCACGGAGTTAACAGTGGATGGCTACCACGTAGCATGATGTTCAGAAAATGCTGGAGCACCAGTTTTACACGTCCAGTCTTTCAAATGTCTGTTTTTCCTTCTATTTGCCTTTCCTTTCGTATGTCCGACCATATACGTATCTGTGTCAAATTGTATTCCACTGATATTTCAAGAACCTCTGTTTGTATTGAAATGAAATTTTTGTTAACAAAATTATCAGTTTTAGGATGCTTACTGTGTATCTTGGTACGTAGTTGCTGTTTGTGTAGAATAAAAGCGTCTAATTATGTACATATTTTTTTTAGCTAGTTTGGGAACGCCAGATCTTCATTAGCATATTTTGTAAGCGCATGCGTGACCGTTAGACGTAAGTCAGTGGCATACATATTCTCGAGGCGGAAACTTCTTAACTAAGCCGTGGTGAAGTATATTGGCGTCTTAATATTTCAAAGCTCAATCTTCGGTTGCGTTTATGTATGTTAAAGTGAACATCATGCTTAAAAAATCCTTATTGTTCACCTAGCTACTTCGTTCAGAAGAAAAAAGTTATTTTCTGAGCTTCATGAGGACGCATAAACCACGAATGCCGTGACAAATGATCACCTGCTGTAAGCAGAAACAACTTCTTATGGTTTCTATTTCTTTAAAAAAAATAGGATGTTCAAAGTTAGTTACTCCTAAGCTTAAGGCGCCGACAAATCTCCCCCAGGCGTCACAGACCTGCGCAAGCCATCCTATTTCATTCTAGGTCCCTGCTGCCTTCAACTCCTCTTCCACAGTCCTTCCCCAGATGCCCAGAGGCCTGCCTCTCTTTCTTTTCCCAGGTGGTGCCCATCTCAATGCAGTGTGAGGATGTCTGGTTCTGTCCATTCTTAGCACATGCCCCAGCCATCTCCAGCGTCTCTGCTTCACCTCAGCTGTGATGCTGGTGCGCCTGTAGAGTTGTTGACATGCTGTTCCAAGCGGATCTTGAGAATGCGGCGGAGGCAGCGTCCTTCAAACCCCCTCAGCTTGCTTTCAATCTTCTTGTTGGTTCTCCATGTCTCTGGAGCATAGCGAAGGATGGATCGGACGTTGGACTTGGTCCCGGTCTGGAGATCCTTGGACTTCCAAACATTCCGCAGTCTGTTCCAAACCGACCTTGAAAACATTCACAGAAATGTAAATAAACATAGACTATCATTTTATAGTTAAAAGGCTCTGTTCAATGAATGCTCTCAGTACTAATGTGTGGCAACAACTGTAATAGTATTCAAGTATTAGCTAAGGCGCTGTAGTTCCTACTGTCAGAAATATAATGTATACTTTTCACTTTCAAGGATTTTATATCTGTCGCTTTATTCCACTGACAGATTTACATATTAAACATATACATTTACGTATTTTTAATGACTACTACCGCGTAAATCTCCTCCCTCAACACCCTTAATGCAGTTTTCATCAGGTAATATTAAACAACCCATGTCCACTTCAGTGGACTTTTCCCACAAAATTCTACTTCTGGTTCAATAACTATTGGTACATGCATAACCTTTGCATAGTTAGTGTCTCTTATTAGTTTAGTAATGATAATAGTAATTCATATATATGATACATGACAAAACAAAATTAAGAATAAATATGAAAAGACTGAAAAATAGATGTCAAACAACTTATCTAGTCCATTTTTCAGGCTCACAATTATAATAAACAAAAATACTTAATGAATATCACTTTTCTGTGAAATATTAAGTGTATAGAAACAAACTATTTAAATACAAGTGCTAATATAAACTTAGTAGGTATCTATATATTTTTTTTAATATCTAAAATTATTTCAAATCTGCGTACTAATTACCTTTTTCATTGTGTATTATACTTAGTACTCGAATATACATGTATAGTTGAATGTTTAATCCTAGTTTTTAATTAATGTTTACATATTAATTACATAATTTGCTTATCAAATAACTAATTGAAGTATGCTTCGTTTATATTATAACAGTTTACTCGTATGAATTGAAACTTGGTACACATGTATGTAATGTCATGACTGAATCGAACTGTGATCTGTTTTTATTTTTATTTGACTTTATCATGCTCTTTGTATATAATTATAACAGTTTATTTAAATGAATTAAAATATTGTATATGGTTGTTTATGTAGAACATTATGTAACAGCTTCTGCTTAATCAGTGCTAAATGTGCATAATTAATTAGTAAACAGTTTACTCAAATGGATTGAAACTTTCTACATACTTTCTATTTGGGTACAAATATTCAATGACCATTCGTATCATGCTGTGAACATTATTTAGCTAATTTGCATTAATCGTTTACATGCAGATTTGTGTAGAAAAATCGATAAATGATAAATTTCATTGCTTAGTTTTGTAATAATCTACTCAATTAATTTGTTTAGTTAGCAAATATTTAACACACGGGAGCACATTCAGTTGATGTCTGGTTCTACACATCAGTCTATTGAAACCTACAGGTTTTTTCAATGGGTAGTCAAAAAACCCACATCTTGGCCTAATTTCATATAAATGGCAGTATCCAGAACTCGCGATTTCTTTGCTGTTGTCTT